ATCACGATTACATTTCAGGAAGCACCAATGAATTTCCAGCAAATCTAATGACTCTCCAGAAACGGTAAATGTTTCCGAAAACAAAATCCTTTTTAGAAAAACATAGTGAATCTTCAGGAGTCAAGCTGCAATACCGTCACGACAACTTCCTTACCATGATACCCACATTACTGATGTGAAGAATAAAAAAATATACAGTACATCTCTGAATATGGGTGTGCGGAAAGACGGACAAATTCGGAAACTGACAGACAGCACATCTCTCTCGTTGAGGGTGCTCGGAAATCGTGATTCTGCATGAAAGACAGATTTCTAATTGAATGGTCTTTATCGAATTTAGATGAAAATTTTCGAATTGATTATTTGCGCGTGACCCAGTGCGGAGTGTGTTTTCCATGTGAAATAACGATTTCCGAACACCCTCAGCAGAGAGATATGTGCTGATGTGTGTTATGAAGTTTTTTGTGGCACCCTCAATAAGAGAGACGTATGTGTAGATGTATAGTGATGCGAAATCTTGAAAATCCCAGCCAAAAATATCAATTCAAATGATTTTTTCTCATAGAGAATTTTTCTTCCGTTCAGTTTTGTGGAGTTCATTTTATTGCAGCTCATTGATCATTAGTTCATTAGTAAGTCGATTACAGACTAGAATTCTAACAAGTCGACATCAAATTTACTGATGAGGGAAAGTCTTCCATCGATCCGCGTCGTTTTTCCTGTTATTTTATCTGTATGTAGGTCCAATGAGACTAGAAAAAGCCTTGAAAGCTAATGGTCCACAGGCCTTCCATCACAAGTTATGACCATATTACTTGGTTTACCACCTGCGATAAGGGATTCAGTGAAAAATCAGCTTTCGTCCACATGTAGGTTTTATGGCCTATGTGTTAACCTAAACATTTCAGTCAGAACAAATGCTTCTTTCTCGAAAAGTTGAGTTTTTCATAAAAATCGATTTTCTTGACATGTATGTAGCATGGTAACGCTTTTTTGAGCACGCAATATTTCGAGAAAGAAGCATTGCGTTTGGCTGAAACTTTTAGGTTAATATACAGGCCACAAGAGTTGTATGTGGACAAAATTTCAGATCAAAATTCAGTAATTTGATTTTCCATTGAATCTCTTGTCATTAATGGTGAACCAAGTAAGATGATCATGACTCGAGAAGGAAGCTCTATGGGCCGTTAGCCTTTTAGGTTTTTTTCTAGTGTCATTGAACCCAGCATATGGTCAAAATATCAACAAAAACGGCAGGGATCAGTTGCAAGTCTTCCCTCGCGGTTTCTGTATCCTTGGTATCCTTATGCACTCTTCACCAAGATTCCCATAGTTTCGAGAAATGAACTTTCCGAAATTTCCATTTCTGTGCTGTTCGATCATCAATCGGTCAAAAAGTCTACAATGAATATTTTATGTATTTAAAAAGGTTCGACAAAACACCGTGAACTTTAGTTTTATTCTTTGGCAATGTCTTTTATGTCACATAAGTCATTCACAAAGAGAGAGAGACAGAGAAAAAAGTTGATTGACGCATATGCCTCTCTACTTCCTTCGCGGAAAGTCGATGTCGTTGCACACAACATACTTGAATAGCGGTCTTCACTTGCACAGTAAATATTTGATAATAAAATGGAGAATGGCGCAGTTTGTTGGCTGTCATCAGTGGATTTTTTCCAACTTACCAAGAAAAACAACACAAAGTCAATACATAGGTGAAGTGACGCTGAATCAGCAAGCATTGATGCCCATGTGATGACGTTTGTGGCAGTTTGATATAAGCGAATTTCTTAGAATCAAGTATTACATCAAAGGGATTGTTGAGCAATGTGAATGTGATATCAACAGATCCATTAATACTACCAACAACAAGTGCCCAACTACAGGCACGTTATATCCAACGAACCACATTTTAGACGCCAGCATTGACAATGAAATAACCGAATAAGTGTAAAAATGCTCTATTGGAACTTTCGGTACCATACATCGCGCGTGTGATGGTAAATTCCGCTTTCTAGGAAATTCAAAAAAATGACTATAGAAGAAATTTCATGGAAATTTAATTGAATGTTTTAAAGATAATCATAGCGAATTCATGTTATAAACAGGAATATCGAAAAAAGTTTAAGTTTAAGTTAGAGTTTCGTTGGGTTGGGTTGGGTGTGGGGTGTGACTTAAAAGAAAACAACACCCACATCCACACGCTCATCCACACCCACTCACAGCCACACCTACACCCACACCCACACCCATCCCAACCCAACCCAACCTATCCCAACCCAACCCATCCCAACCAAACCATCCTAACCCAACCCATTTCAACCCATCTCAACCCAACTCAACCCAACCCAACCAAACCCAACCGAACCCAACCCAACCCATACCATTCCTTATGTTCTCAACTCAACTCAATCCAATCCATACCATACCCTTCTTGAAATCATCCTTCACTTGAGGCGCAGTCAAATTTGAATTTCCTGGAAAGCGGAATTTACCATGCCCTCGCATCGCGCAGTGCAGCGCAAAATTTGTCTTGATTGGTCTCGTATTATGTAGCGTAAGCGCTACGGCGTGCTGCGCCATGCGGCAGAAAAAAATCACTCTGTACCTGTTCCTGGTACAGGCAGATGATGGCTTGTGTTATTGTTACTTTTTGAGAGATATAGTTGGAAGAAAATCCAACACAAATAATGCATAGTAAAACTGAAGATATTGTTTCAATATTTTCAAATAATGAGACACACGTGGTTGATACGAAACATATACTATTTTCAAGTGGCCTTTTTCACTTTTTTGCTTCTTGGGAGCCGAATGATGTTGTATGCGAAAGAAATAAAATATTTATAATCGGCAAGCACTAAGTTCTCGACAATATAAACGTCGCAAAACTGAAAAGCGTCACCACGAGTAGCAAATAAGTCGAATAACCAGTATATAAAAGCAAGGGATTAATACACTCGAAACTTATTTTAGCTTTCACTACACTATCGAAAAAATGCGTCTTGTTCTTCTTTTGATTGTTGCTGTCAGCAAGACTTTAGCATCAGAAAACGGCACAACGTCACAGTTAGGTCTCCTGTGCGGTTGGTCTGTCACTGGATACAACCCTGTGTATTGCGATGGTCTTGATCCGTTAAGAGCAGGATGTCCTCAAGGTTATACTAAGCTGCTAGCCCAAGGTGACCGAACCTATGGTGCTGTTTGTGTTAAAGCGATAGCTGATGGCGAGCCGGGGAAATCGGGTACTTGGTGCGGTTTTCCTGGTGAGTTTGTGAGTTGTGGTGACGCGTCTCTTAGAGAGTGTCCAACCGGTTACTACGAACATGAATTTTGGAATTGGTGTTTCAAGAATGATTCGAAATCAAAAGACTTACGGGGCACTCTTTGTGGCATTAGTATGGGTCGTTCCGGGTGGAAGCCAGATTTACAATTTCCGTGTGGAGGAATGCCGTCAGTGAACGAGTGTCCCGCTCATTTCGAGACCCTGATGCGGCAGACATACATGCCTAGTTGCTACTCAATCTTCTGAATAAAGTTTATCATGGAAGTTGAACCTTGTTGGGTTTAATGATTTCTATGTATGTGATTCATCGTATGAAGACAATGAACATGACATAATGAAAGTGATTTTAAGTGAATAAAATAATCAAGAGTAAAATCATAAGAAAAAGATACACGTAAATTAGGTATTCCGCCATCATTCGATAGACGAAGCCCTAGTCTCAATCCTTGTCATTCCTTGAGAAATCCTGGAAGGATCTTCAGGATTCTGACTCTCAAGGATCTTGTCAAGTTTTTTCAGGAACCTGCTTTGAATTCTAGTAGTTCCTGTTTCTAGGATTCTGTAAGGTCCTACAGGATCCTGTTCAGGATTTTTTCAAGTTTCTGCTCACATATTATTCTGAGTTGGGATTACAAGATTCTACCAGGATTCATTCTCGATCTTGTCAAAAATTGTCTCAGGATTATGAAAGAGGATTTTGCCAAGATTTTTTCTGGTTCTCGTCAAGATCTAGATCACATCTTCACATTAGGATCCTGTCAGGAATGACAGACACATCAGAAGAGAATCTTGACAAGAAAATAGTAGGAGCAGTCTGAATACGAAACTGACTAATGTTATAAAGGTTTAATCAGGATCTTACTTGGACCTTTTCAAGAATATGCATTTCCATACCTTATAAGACAATGCCAATTCTAAGCAAGATCTTGATAAGAAAATATAAGGATTTAGTAGAGTCCTTACAGGATACTGCTTAGTCACTGCAGCCATATCCATTTCTTGAGACAACCTTGAAGGATCTTTCAGAGCCATAGACCTTAAGAATCCTGTCAGGTTTCATTCAGGATTCAGTCGAGGACTTGCTCAAGTTGTTGCTTGGATTTTTTTGAATTGATATTGCAGGATCCTATCAGGATTCGCTCTCGATCCTATTCAGGAACCTTGCAAGAATGAGAGAGGATCTCACTCAGATTTCTTTAGATTTGAATCACTATCTGTTCTGCAGCCTAATACAAGGAGTCTGTCAAGAATCACAGTTATATCAGAGAAGGATCTTGTCAAGAATCAAACAGGGTTAGTAAGAATCCTCAACCAGATAAAGCTGTCAACCTCCTATCTGAATACTTGCGAAACTACCCAAGAGCATGCATTTCCAGTCCTTACAAAAACGTACAAGTATGATCGGGATCTTGACAAGAAGATACAAGAGTATTGTTAAGATCTTTTCAGGTTTCTGTTTGGAAACTATTGAAAATTTGATTTTCAAGATCCTGTCAGGAACTTGGCAAAAATGAATGAAATGGTTCCTTCACGCTTTTAGCTAGACTCAGATCAAGATGGGTGTGGGTGTGGGTGTAGGTGTGAGTGTGGGTGGGTGTGGGTGGGTGTGAGTATGGGTGTGAGTGTGGGTGGGTGTGGGTGTGGGTGTAGATTTTGTCTCATTTCACCCTCACTCATACCCACACACACACCCACACACCCACAACCACACCTACACTCAAACACGTAACCAAGCTGATGATTGATTTAAAAAATGATTAATATATGTTGATAATTTGCATGATAAAACTGTTAATCGATCAACTTCAAAACCAAATTTTAAACGAAAAAAATGATCTAAATTCCAACCATAAAGTATAAATATATCAATCAATGCTATAACACGCATATAACGTATAGTTGGCCGTTGACGAAACACTTTTTGATAAAGAATTATTAATGTCAAACTGTTCAATATTGTTGTCATACATGTTAAACATAGAGGATAATAAGTAAACAATATTTTGCCTACAGATGAAGGATGTACTGGCATTTCTTAATTGAGTTAAATGATTTTTTAAGATAGACTCGATCGTTCGCATCTTATTTATTTCTATATACCACATCAATTATGAAAGACTTAATTATCAGAAATGCGGAGGTAGATAAGATTTCTAGTTCGATTACGCATGCGAGAAGAAGTTCAAAGTTGACAGATAACATTCACAGTAAATATAAGATGCAAAGATGCCTATAGAATTAAAATTGTTCTTTGAGAAGAAATCAAAAATTTTAATCATACTGAAGATAGATAATGTTTTCGATTAAATATATATGTGCATCTTAAAGATTCATGTTATATTTCACAGAAAAATCATGTTTTTTATATTTTAAGTAATAAATCGAAGAAAATTAAAAGTCAATGAAACAAATTATGAAAACCAATCTGATACAATCAGCATATTTTTCAATTCTCGATCTCTCTTCGTGACTTTTATCAAAGGCGAATAAGTCAAATTAAATTGATTTTATTGTTCTATGAACAATGTTTTCAATTAGGTACTGTTCACAGTAATCACATATATCAACAATAAAAGTAGATAATTATTCCACATGCTTTGAAGATAGAATTTCTTGTCATGTTGTTATGTCTTACAATCAATATTATTCTAATTTCTATTGATATAGTAATTAGTAGGTGTTCTGTCTCCGATTTACTTTTCTAAGAAACAGGAAAAACTCATCTTACAACTTCTACAGTACCGATAATTCGAGACTTTTTCTAAAAAATGTTTTTGAATCATTTATTCTGCTAATTTTGTCATGAACTGCTTGTTTGAGTTATAATATTGACGTTTATTCCAGTGATCTATTAGTTTATATTTTGATTTTCATAATCTCTATGACTAATTTCAAAAAGAAAAAATTCAAATTAAAAACATGATTAATTTACTTTATTTTTAAAATGTACAAAAATATAATCTATATGAAACTAAATCTGACACAATATTATATTATAAATTTTCTTTAATCGATGATAGACATTCTAAAAAACCTTTTCGTTTCTTTTTATCACCATCTAATAAACAAAATCGATTTCGTTCATAATCAATAAAATATGTTCGATTACGTTGAGTAAATTTAATAAATAGATTATTATTCGATGAAGGAGACATTATTACATTTGTTGTTAAAAATTGTAATACATTCGATTTATCTTCATTAAAATTTGTAGTTTCATCTTGACGATTGAGATGATATTGACGAGAAAATTCTATTAAATTAACATTTTTATCATATCCATGATAGAAAATATCATTTGGAATATCAATTAAAGATCGACCATTATTTGCCTAGAATTAAAAAATTAATATTATATTGAAATCTTAATAACAATTATATATTACCTGTCGTTTAAGAACCCAATATGTATGAATACTTTCAAGAATATCAGGAAGAATTAATGTTTGTTTTTTAATACTTTCTAAATTGATATACGATGTAAATTGTTCAAATCTAAATAAATCATATTGTGAATTTAATATACTAAAATAAGAATAATTAATAATAAACCGTTTTTGTTGATTTTCTAGAAATTTATTTCTTTGTACTCGTTTTTCTGATAAATCAAGTTTTTCTGTATGTCGATGACAAAGTGCCTAATAAATAAAATAATTGAAAATACAATTAAATAATAAAAAGAGAAAAAAAATTTTATACAAGTAATCGAACTAAAACTTTATCATCACTTTCAGCTATAAGCATATCTTGACCAGCATCTATTGCACATAATGGATGAAATCGATTTTGACAATTTTTCCAACAACAATTTATTTTTACACCAGTGGTTTTATTACATATTAAACAACGTCCATCATATTTCTATTTAAATAAACAATGCCAATATATGAATATCAAATTCTAAAAATAATATTTCCTACAAGAGTATCTTTTAAAATTGGTGTCATTTTTTCATCAAATTCAATTATAGGAAGCCAAAATGCACATGAAAGATGAACCCATTGTTGTTGTTGTTGTTGTTGTTCATCTCTTTAAATAAAAACAAAATCAGTTTCTTTTTTTTTCTAATATGAACATGAAAAAAATTTACAAAGATGTTTTTAAAATTTTTAATGCTCCTTCACTTTTATCACATAAACAACATAGATGTTGATCATTAACACATTGACATGACAGACATAACCATTCATTTTCATCATCATCATCAATTCCATAACATTTCTAAAAATATAAAAAGATTTAAATCATTCATATGTCATTATTTAAACCTTATGAACAATTGTTTTGCATTGAATACATTGAATAAGATCATTAACATCATCAATCTAAAACAAAAATAATTCAAATTTCAATTTTAATTAAGAAAAAATAACCAATAATTACACGATGACAAACATCACATTGAATTGTATCTTCATAGTTTTTCTGTCGAATAGCTAATAAACATTGATGTTCAAGTAATTGTATAATATATTCAAAAATGTTTTCATCAAGTTCAGGCAAATCTATTCAAAATTAAAATATCATATTAATAGCGTAGTCAGATTTTGACAGCCGAGGTGCTTAACATGACCAGACTCTATCTGATGGAGAGATTTGTGACAAAGTATAACTAGCATTACTTAGATCGAAACTCAGCATACCTAGCACGTCTCCCCTCCTTGGTTGCGTCCCTAATCATATATCAGGTAGTCCAGAACATAGAAAAAGATCGGTCGTGAAATTCTCCATAAAGACTGTATTGAATATTTTATTACAAAACATGAAAATAAAAAACTTCATGAAAAATATTAAGAAACTTCAAATCCGCCAACATTATAATCAATAATATGAATTTTTGTCATTTTTATTTTTCTGTAACAGAAACAAATTACTGAGATTATTTATACATGTAGATTCGTATAAGAAATGATCTATTTCTTCTGGACCACTCGATAACTAGGATCCATCATTTTTGGTTAACTTCAAAGAAAAGAACATAAATATTCTCAATTATAAAGTCTTACGTTTTTCAATACGAAATTGATTATATGCTATAAGCCATTGAAAATCTTGTTCATCAAGATCATATTCATTGTATTGATTTCCATTATTATCAATAATAAAACTATAGAAAATAAAGTAAAGTGAATTGAAAAAAAATTCTACTATAATGTTTATTAAAATTACTTTGTTGAACGATTTTTAATTGTATTACTCATTGATGGTACTAATTGATATTTAATATTAGGTATATTTTTATCATTGATATGTCGAAGATCATCATTAAAACTCCAATCACGATTTCGAATACCAGTTATAGTAATTGATGAATTATTGTCTGCATTGGTTGATATTATTGATGGTCGAATGATCTAAAATAATAATCAGTTGAACATTATAAATCATACATAAAGAGTGAGCTGAAAGTTTCTAGACAAAATATTCAACAATTTGTCGCGTTTTTAAATGCATGAGAAAAGAGTAAGAAGTAATGTAATAGAACCAGAATTTTGTGTTCTTTCAGAATATATTCTTAAGATTTGTCTATGACTTTTGACTATTGAGCTAAAAGCAAATCTTGACAAATTTTTCCAAAAAAAAAATTTTATCGAGAAGCAAAAAATCTTATTTTTTTGAAGACAAATGCACATCAAGTAAGTTCTATAAGTATATATTACTTGAGGGTGATCTCTACTCTACAAAATAACACAAGAATGAAGATTTTTGGTTAATCCACTAAAAAAATGACAGAGTTGTGATGAAGAGTCATTTTTCCGGTGAGAGGGCGAAAATAGCCATGTTTCATGCGATAGACTTTATAAAAGTCTTTTCTGCATCTCAATAGTTTATAAAAAGTTTTATTCAAATATATCACTCTGTAGAGAATTATAATCAATATTTTGTCTAGAAATATTCAATCCACTCTTTACTTTGTAATTAACCTCATTAAACTTTTGTTCACGATTATTGCCACTATGTTCATTATCGTAATCATCGTCATCATGTATTTCCTTTCGACGACCAAATCGAATAGTAAGAAAACGAGGTAAAGGTTCAATAAAATTAAAATTTGATTGTAAACTACTTGAGAACATACTTCTAAAAAAGAAAAAA